ATAATAAATTAATTTATTGATTGATTAATCTTCAAAGAATAATAATAAAAAGGAATAAATAAGATAAATAAATAAATAAATAAATTATTTATTAGTTAATCAAACATTTACTTAATTATCAGAAATAATAAATAAACCAATAAAGAAAGAAGGAAACCAATTAATTAATAAATAAACAATCAATCAAAATATAAAGTAAGTAAACAAATAAACAAACAAATTAAAATATGAATGAATTAAAACATTAATAATAAATTAATCTATAAATTTATTATTTAAATAAAACAAATAAATGAAAAATAAATAAATAAATAGAAGAATTTATTACTCATTAGAATAATTAATTAATGAAGAAAAGAATGTATTCATAAATAAACAGACAAATAAATTTCTGAATGAATAAATAATTTACTTAGTTTATTAATAATTATTACAATTAAAAATAATAAATAAATAAATAAATAAATAAATTTAGATAAATAAATAAATAAATTATAAATGAATGAATAAAAGATTAAATAAACAAATAACAACTAATTGCAATGTCGACTTATTAATTCTTTGGCTTTTTATATAAAAATTTATTGAATTATGCGTAAATTTCTGCATCTGAGAATAGCACTACTAAGTTTTCGTTAATTTCGAATTTCCTCTCTAGAACTCGATGTAAATTTGTTGCGCGCATGCGCTCTGCCTGGTTATAGAGGCTGGTTAAATCCAAAAATGTTTATAAATGAATGAGATAAAAGATTAAATAAACAAATAAGGTCACTAATTGCAATGTCGACAATTAATAAAAATTCTTTGGCTTTTTAGAATAAAAATTTATTGAATTATGACGTAAATCATGTTATCTGAAAAGTAGGTCACACTACTTTTTAAATTTTGTGGGTATTTGTTTTCGAATTTCCTTTCTGCTGTTTTCCGAACTCGATGTAAATTTGTTGCGCGCATGCGCTCTGCCTTAAAAGTGGTGTACCTACTTTTTGAACTTTATGACTTATCCTTTTAAAAACATTAAATCCCATTATTTCAGACACTGGGAGATTTAGAATCATCAAATCTTGTACTTTGATGCATCTAGGGACCTTAAAACATATTTATAACAAAGTAGGTCACTGTGACCTACTTTTTAAATTTTGCCGACATTTGTTTTCAAATTGTTTAAAATGCATATTTTGATTACCTTCAGACCTACGATCATCAAACTTGGTCAGTAGATGCATCTTGGGTCTTTGAAAAATGTCAACCAAAATGTAGGTCACGATGACCTACTTTCGACATTTTATGGCTATATTTCAGTATCTTAGGCATTTATTGGCTTAGAATCATCAAACTTTGTGAGTGGATGCATATTTAGTTTTCGGAGAGTGACGACCAAAAAGTAGGTCATGGTGACCTACTTTTGTCATTTTATGGCTTTATTTAAGTATCTCCGGTACTTATTGGCTTAGAATCATCAAACTTTGTCAGATGATGCATCTTGGGTTTTCGGAGAGTGACGACCAAAAAGTAGGTCATAGTGACCTACTTTTGACATTTTGTGGCTATAATTAAGTATATCTGGTACGTATTGACCTAAAATCATCAAACTTTGTCAAATGATGCATCTTGGGTTTTCGGAGAATGTCGACCAAAAAGTAGGTCACAGTGACCTACTTTTGAATATCTCAGGTACGTATTAGCTTAGAATCATCAAACTTTGTCAGTTTAGGCACCTTGGGTTTTCGGAGAATGTCGACCAAAAAGTCGGTCACTGTGACCTACTTTTGAATATCTCAGGTACGTATTAGCTTAGAATCATCAAACTTTTTCAGTTTAGGCACCTTGGGTTTTTGGAAAACGTCGACCAAAAAGTAGGTCACTGTGACCTACTTTTGACATTTTTTGGCTATGTTTGATTATATCTGGTACTTATCGGCTCGGAATCATCAAACTTTGTCAGTTGAGGCATCTTACGGTTTCATTGAATGTCCAACAAGAAGTAGGTCACGGTGACCTACTTTTGAATATCTCAGGTACTTATTGGCTTAGAATCAGCAAATTTTCTCAGTTTAGGCATCTTGGATGTTTGGATAACGTCGTCCAAAAAGTAGGTCACCGTGACCTACTTTTGACATTTGATGGCTATATTTAATATCTCTGGAACTAATTGGCTTAGAATTGTCAAACTTTGTCAGATGATGCATCTTGGGTTTTCAGAGAATGTTGACCAAAAAGTAGGTCATGGTGACCTACTTTTGAATATCTCAGGTACTTATTTAATTAGAATCATCAGTCTTTGTCAATTAATGTATCTTGAGTCCTCAGAAAATTCCAATCAAAAGGTAGGTCACTTTGACCTACTTATGGTATTTGATAATTATATTATAATATCTTCAGTCTTAACTGGCTAAATATTATCAAACTTTGTAAGTTGATGCATTTTGGGTCTTATGATACTAATAGAGTTTGAGGCTTCTAATAGAAGTGATAGATTGTACAATTTATCAGAAGAGCGATTCAAGGCCCTTGGGCCTCTTGTTTTTGACCTGTCTACCCTTGCTGCATTTTAGTTGGCAAATTTAAAATGAAAAAAAGACAATTTCAAATGGACAAAAGACAATAATAATGTCTTCAGCAAAACTTTGAGTGAATTTAAAGTGGGGCATAATTGTTTGGAATAAGGGCAAAAATAATATAAGGCAAATTGACCTTGTATACAGTAATTGTGTTAAAATTTACATGATGTGCATGTAATATGTCTTTACAATGCTTTTTGTTTCTTTGTATTTTACATCTGTTTATTGTAGTTATATTGATTATTGATAGATTACAATAAAACTATGTCTAATCTAAATGATCTTCACTGCCTTCCTTTCTCAAGTTTCTGTCATAATTTTTTTTCCCATAGAGCCACTTCTCTTAGAATTAGGTCAAATTTAAGTTTGATACCTTGAGAATTTGCTGAGAATCTGCAGAAAGAAATTAACAGAGACATATTTCATCTTTTTATTAGCATGTACATGTCATACAATACATGTGTATTTATAAATGCAGTTGGATGCAGCTTCATGCCTTTCCCATGTTCTATTTATTATACTGCAGGGGCGTAGTATCAGGGGGGGCCAGGCCCCCCCACTTTTTCTCCCGACATTACCTTTACTATAGAAAATGTTTACTGAAAGGAAGGTTGGCCCCCCCACATGTAAAGGGTAGTGTTATAAGAAAATTAACCCCAAAAAGTTTGAATTGAAAGATAGTTGGTCTTGAAAAAAGTTAGCCACTACCCCCCCCCCCCCCGAATCCCCCCCCCCCCCCACGAAATAGGATTTTCGACTTCGGGCAACTTTTAATTTTTTTTTTTTTTTTTTTTTTTTGGCTTGTCAACTTTTTCAGGTAAGTAAAAAAAATTTTTCTCAGGTTGGCCCCCCCACTTCCAAAAACGATGCTACGCGCCTGTACTGCACACTAAAAGTTCTGATACTGTGCTATTTGTTTAGCAATTAGATTAATCTGTTCTTGGATCTAAACTAAATCAATTTTTAATCAATTCAAGCATGCATTCTTAAAATTTTGATAGATGAAGACATATAAACAAAAATTTATTTGCAGGTTCCCAATTTCTGTAAACAACAGTGATTTCTGTTCTTTGAACATTTTTCCCAAGGAAAGGGAGGGGGGGGTAAAGCCCAGATACTGGTACTCTATGTTGAATGATACATATAAGCTCAGTTTTTACACCTCATACAATATATTTGGCTCAATGTCCAAAAAACACATTGATTTAGTGTAGAATGGGGCTTTAATTGAGAAACATTCCAACTTTCATTGATGTTAGATTAAAATGATGAATATGCAAGCTATACCATTACTAGTATATAGTCACCTTTGAATTTAAACAAGCAATCGTATTTACTTATGACATACACATGATCTTGACATGTGAATAATTTTTGGCTATATGCAGCACTATCTGATCTGGCAAAAAACTTTAAAAATTCAAATCAAGATCCAGATATTGAAAATAATCTTGGCTGATCGTCAATGGCATCGTAAGGAGGTGGCGGATCAAGGCGAGGTGTGTACGGAGGGGGCGATACTGGATGGCTCTGCTGATGGTCAAACTGACCATGCGATAATGGGTCAATTGATAACGGCTGTGATGTCCAGACATCCCTCGTCTGTTCTAGTCCCCACTCCTCAGGATAATGTTTCTCTGTAAATAGCAATCATATAACTGTCATTTTCCATTCCACTCCATTTGTCATTTTCCCCTCAGGGGCTGGCTAAACAACATTGCAAAGCAAAACGTTTTAAACAGACTTGAACAGCTTTGAAGTTATGTTAAATAATGCTTACTGGACATGTCTACGTAATGGAGTCCCCAAACACAACTCCAACACCAGCCCACTAATATAAAGCCACTCAGGACTAGTTGTAGTACACCTATGGACAGGTTACATAAACACGTGGTCAATCGGTCACCTGTATTCATGTCCGTGTTCATGGAGCAGCAAAAGGCAGCAAACCCCGACACAATAGTTCCTGTTCCAAACAACAGAAAGTTAAACATGAAAACATATGGGAAAGATGGATAAAAGCGATTCGTCGAGGGATGAGGGTGTTGCACCTAGCAATTTTTTGAACACTATAATAAAAGCAAAAAATAGACCCTGTAAGGTATTTTATCACATTTTTTTTTTACCATCTCACCCAAAACGGACACGTCAGTTGCAATCATAAAGAAAGTTGCAGACTTTTTTCTGTCAGCTGGAATCAATGCTATAGTTGAATGATAAACTCGGGGGTGGATATTTGCCTGGACACAAGGGGTGGATGTAAGACTTACCGGAGCCCGGAAATATGAAGTTCATGGTGCAGCAGGTGAAGGCGAGGCATGGTGGCATGGCGGGGGTTATAACGCGGTCCGAAAAATCATCGTGGCACACAGACATAATGATCCTAATTTTATTTAACTACAGAAAAAACTTTCTCTTAAGCATCGTCAGTTGATGGCCTGTTTTACACGAAAGGTCAAATTGTGGTCAAGAAGTAATTGTTACATAATATGCCATAATTTAAATATCAGGACCCCATCCAACCCATTATTCGAATACGACGAACCATTGGTCAACACAGTCACTCTACGAAAATATTTAACTTTTATTTTGGAAATAAAGTTAACATCATATATGGAACTGAATTCAGTTCTTGTAGTGTCCATTCAGTGGTACACAATTATAAAAATATATTTGTTCTTTTCTGTGGCATCTGGGATTACTCTGTCGCCTAGGACTGTCTTGTATCACTAAAATATAAACATACGTAAAATATTAATAATATAACATTTGTACGAACTAAGTATAAGACAATCCGCATTTTCACAAGTAACATTTTCAAAAAAAAAAGTTTGACAACTTTTTCCTCTTTGTTTTTACGCTAAAAAAAGAAATTTGAAAAAAAAAACAGAAGGGGTGTCTTTAAATCTTCAAGATAACAATTTCATGGTTTTCCGGGACACTGATACACAATTCACAGTGAACATGCAGAATACGGTGCAAATTCATGAATTCGGGATATCATGCCTTATTTTACTCGTGCTTGATGTAATTTAAGGTAATTGTATATTTAAATTAGCAATTTTCAATGCAATACTATATTTACGGCTATGCCCCTGATAATCAAGCTTTCGTAACTGTGATATTGCTGGTCTTCCCTCGCTTACTTGAAGACCAGGTCCCGCCGGGATCATGCAACAAATTTAGAATGGAGCGTATATAATTAGACTAAACAAATGTGAATGAAACTGTGCATGACACCAACTTATTATTGAGCCGACACTTGAGAGATGCCTAAATTTATTGTAAAAGATTTTACAACGATGTGGCAATGCTTAAAAGTTGGCACAGGATGCAAGTATCAGTTGTCCTGTTTTTGTTGCATTGAGCATGATTTTCGTCGGAGAAGAGCAGAGGGCCATTGGTGAAGCCAGTAATGGGCTTACCGCCTCGTATAGCTTTCATAGACAACATGACAATCATTAAGTCAGTTATTGCAGCCAAGCAAACACTTCATGAACTGAATTCTGTCAGCAGTTGGACAAGAATGAAAGTGAAACAAAATAAGTCTCGAAGTTTGAAGGAAAGGAAAAGTGGATGCAGATTCGGAAGGGCAATACCAACCTGCAGTGTCAGAGAGACCTGACTGAAACAGAGGACATAGGTGGACTGCATATATAAAGCACAGATCTAGTAACACGAGATAATACCTCGCTAGCTGTTATCGCTATTGGTGTATGATGTACCTATATCAAGGTAGAGAGGAAACAACTACAAAGGATACCTAGCTGCAAAGATGGGTTGAACACTTAAGAAGAAAACTTGTGATTCTGTTCAAGATATATCTTGCCAAAGCTTTTTTTTTTAAAATTAACTCTGTTCTTCATGACCTCCCCCTCCCCAATACTTTTAGGATTTTCACACCTGAAAAAGACGTTGAAAATAGGATGAGTAAGACTACAGACAGATGTCAGGCACTCTTTGATCAGAAACCATCCCTCGAGTCAATGGCTCTGGTGAGTTGAGTTATTCTTACCTCATCCGGTACTTTGACTTCTCAATTACAGTAATAAAAAGAACTAATAGAGTAATAGTTAAACATACCATGCTTTTGTTCCACATGGTTGACATACGTCTTTTGGATCTTGGCACAGGGGTTTACCAGGCTGGTAGTGGAATATCGTCCCGTCAGAACACTGCATTACCCTGGCCAGCCCTCCCTGACACATGTAATATAACCGACAGTCTCCCCCCGGGTCAGAATATATTCCAGTATCACTACCCGTACATTCTGGTCTTCGCCCTCCCTCGGCTTTGGCAATGTCAAAAGCACTTGTACATTTGTTTTCATGGAAAATCATTTGTTTCCCAAACCTGTCTTTCTGACACTGGGAGACGTACACAGTTCTGTTCTGGTAGCACGCCATGTAATATGGGCTGTTTGGTTTCATGGGGTTACGGTGGATCCCGTCCGCCATATCTACACAAGTTGGGTGGTCAATAGAGCAAGACTTACAAACACTCAGGCATTTTTGTTTCCAATAGTCACCTATGAATAAAACAAAAAAACTTTATCTTTAGCTTCAAGACACAGAAATTAGTAAAAAAAAAAATTTTATGAATACATAAAAGATATGACTGAACGTACAGAAATCCAACAGAATTTGGCGCCTGCCACAGTCTACCCTGTAAAAGGGTTCACATGTTCCGCTTGTGGTGGAGAAAAGTTGAGGATAAGGACACTCGTCTAAAAACTTTTCCTCTGGTCTGGCGGGAATGTTGCCAGACGGCGCGCTGCAGTTATAGTAGAGCTGACAATAAGATGGATGAGATAGCAGCAAGCTCTTCCCTTTGTCACACTGACTTGAAATGATGGCTGACGTCACTGACAAATCAGGAAAATACAGAATCAAATCAAAGGCTTCAAAGGTTGCACGATGATTTAATTTATTCGAGTCAGAAGATCTGGGGAGACTCACCGAGAGTACAGTCCGATCCCGTATACCCGGACCTACAGTAACACCGGTAGGTGGCGCCAAACTCCGTACAATAACCGCCATTCTTACACGGGGAGTTCCTGCACGGATGCATCAACATAGCTATAAAAGGAAAGATAGTGGCAAATGAAACGACGTATGAATCAAAAAAGCTTTCAAAATAAATTCATATTTCGATTTGACGATTTTTACCTGTTTCACACAGACGGCCTGTGAAATTTTCCGGACACGCACATCTAAACGCATTAGCTTCAGTGGTTTGAAAACAGATGCCACCATTCATACAGGGCTTTAAAGAGCAGGGATCTGGTAAATATACTTATAGATGTTAAAGCTTCTAAACTGAATGCAGAAAATTTCTAAATCTAAATTATAGTAGTACGTATGGGGCGTTTAAGATAATATGATATGTACAAAACCTTGCGTTTGTTCACACTGTTTCCCTGTGTAGCCCGGTAAGCAGAAACATTTGAATTGTGTTGTTTGCACACTGCTACAGATTCCAGAGTTCAAACAAGGTCTGCTGGAGCAGGGATTGCCTATACCTACAGTAAAAAAAACTTTTATAATATCTTTATATTGCCATTCTTAGATTACTCATTGCTGTGAAACACTGTTAACACTGAGACCAACCAAAACAATTTTATTGCACGTATCTGTGATCAGTGTCAGAAGGGTAAAGATAAACAGGTTCATGTTGTAAATATGATGTGAAGTTTTTCACTTACTCATTGTTTCGTTACACTTTTATAATATCTTTATATTGCCATTCTTAGATTACTCATTGCTGTGAAACACTGTTAACACTGAGACCAACCAAAACAATTTTATTGCACGTATCTGTGATCAGTGTCAGAGGGTAGAGATAAACAGGTTCATGTTGTAAATATGATGTGAAGTTTTTCACTTACTCATTGTTTTGTTACACAAGGGTCCACTGAACTTTGGTCGACAGTAACAGATAAATGAGCTCCCTACTGTCCCAGAACAGTAACCCTCGTTATGACA